ACTAGAGTACAGACCAAAATCAAGAATAAATGAAGAATTTGTTTGTGATGTGAACTTTGAGATGATTTATTGAAATAAATCATGAGAATAAATAATATGAATGGAATGTAAGAACCTTTCTAAGTAAAGATCAATTAAATCAATTTTGACTCTGTCAAAGTCAAACACCCAAAAATATGATGTCCGAAAAAGTATTACAAATAATAAATATAAAAATTTTATCATTGGATAGAGTTTAATTGTTCGATCGCAACGATGCAAACAGATTTCAATTCGGAGAAAGTTGGACCAAAATGTGTACCCGACTAGGACCAAAATTAGTCCTAATAAGGGACTTGCGTTTGAAATTGGAAGAATTTTCCGTCCCTTCCACTGAGCCGTTCACGATCACTAAATGACCCATGACTATAGGAAATTGGATTGGCTTCATCCCCTCCATCAAGCTATATAAGGAGTAACCATTCTCTCCCATTTCTTCACCATTTCCCTTCAAATTTGTTCTGAGAGTTAGCTATGAGTGTGGAGAACGCAGTGGTGCTGTCACTTTGGTGAGAGGTCGCCGGAGTTGGAAGTTATCGTCGTCGGAAGTTTCAACGGAAAATTTCCAAAACCTTCATTAAGCTTCGAGGTAAGCCCATAGATATATCTAGTGACTAGAATGTTCGTATAGATCGTTTCTACATTCATGAACAATCGTTTGATTGAGTTTTGTGTTTGACATACTCAAAGAACCAAGAATCATAAACCATGAAATTATTGTTAAAACTATGAATTAATGATACCAAAGTGATCTATGAACCTTGGAGAACATTTCTATATAGTTTAATTGAAGTTTGGTAACTAAAAATGTTATTTTCAAAATTGGAATCGAACGAAGAAAAAGATGATTAGTGATCGAAAAATAGAGAGGATAAATTGATCCAGGGGGTGGATCGATCCCCTGGGTGTGTTTTCTCTAGCTTGGATCGATCTAGAGCACATGATCGATCCCCCGAAGTTTTGCTCCGAAAATATTTCCAAAAATGCTATTTTTGAGCTCCAAAATCCTATTTTTGATGTCAATCAATTATGATCAATACAAAGATGATTTTTCACAATAAAAATGACACTTTTGACTAATAAAATCTTATATGATGCATGACGGTAAGCTAGGGTGTTAACACTCGACGCTAGACTGCTTTTTGTTATTGAATATTATGATAATTATTACTAATTGATGGTTATGATGATGATTATTGATTGATAATTATAATGATTAAACCTTGATGAATTTTCTTATTAAAATGATGAATGATTAAATCATAATGAATATATTGATGATTGTGAAAATAATATGTATTGTTAAAGGTATCTAGAATAACTGTAAGATATACCCATATTGATGTTGATTTGAAGAGTATCTAGAAGAACTCTAAGATATACCCAAATAACCATTTTTGTTAATTGATATTGATTTCAAGGGTATCTAGAAGAACTTTAAGATATATCCATAGTGATGTTGTTTTTGAAGGGTATCTAGAATAACTCTAAGATATACCCATTTAAGTTAGGCCTTGCGAGTATGATGCCCGGTGGCCACGGTTAAAACATACGTACGTGATCCAAGAACCAAATTTGAGTAGCTACTTGTTTAGGGGTACCACCCAACCCAACAGTGAACATTACGCTATTGATTTCTGCTTGACCTTAAGCGAAGGTAAGTTTAAGATCTTAAAAACCTTTTTGAAAATCTGTATCTTAAACTTGGCCTAACTTAAGGGTTGGTTAGGAATACCTTAAACTAGAATTAGTTTAAGAGTTAAATTGGCCTTAGACTAAGAATAGTTTTTGAGCATTGTTGACACTATGAATGTTGAATATGAATGATGAATATGAATGATGAATGTTGAATGAAAGATGAATATAATATGAATGATGAATGTTGAATATGAAAGATGAATATGAATGATGAATGTTGAATATGAAAGATGAATATAAATGCTGAATGTTGAATAATGAATGATGAATACTAAATATTGATTGTTGAATATCTGAACTGAACATTATGTGCATGATATCAAATGATTTGATTATGAATTGAGACTCAATTTATATGGATGTTTGACGCATTAGATATGCTTACTCACCTTCAACGCTGAGCGTGTAATATGTTTTATTTGCTACACACAGGTAAATAGAAAGAATGATGTGACGTGATTCTGGAGGCACACAGAGGCGAGATTTTCGGAATGGATGTGATGGTTTTGAATCGAGGAACATAAATAAATTGTGTTTGTGATTATGATATGTTAAGCTTTCGCAATAACTCTGTACTATTTATGTTATGAAAAATATTACTGTGATAAATAAAAGTGTTTCAAATATTTTTAATTTTTACGATTACCAAGTTAATACTTTAGTCCAATAGGTGCTGTAGACTTGGACGGATTAGGGTGTTACAGAAGACGAAGATCTGAAGAAAGTACTTTGGAATGACTTGATTTTCGTGGAGCAAGTACTTTAGGGATGAAGTAGTGAAGAATACGAAACTGAGGCTTAATCCCTCCAACGATGAGTCGCTCAAGTTGACAAATATTTTTGTTACCGATGAGGGTAACAGTGTCATAGGGAGAAAAATTACGGACTTTCCTGGATAGTTTTACTAAAATCACACCCTTCATAAGATAGATAAAGAAATTCACCAAGTTTCCTCAGGTTCATTTCTATATCTACTCCATTTACAGAGGATTTGAGTACTTTTCCGTTTTATGAAAGAGTGGCATAAAATAGCCAAACAAGACTGGGACAATATAATTGGAATTTCCGATGCAAGAAATTTGTCAAACCAAGCCTATCAACAATCGTAGTGGCTTGAGAAAAAGGTTGATGACAAATGCTCAACAAATTTTGGAGTCAAAATAGGACGATTCAAGAAATCATTGAAAAACAAACAACGGGAGTCACCCTTGGGAAAAACAAATGGGGAGACATAACGTTGCTCTTGGGTATTGCTAGATTCACCGGCTAAGTTCTTTATGCAAGGGCGCTTGTTGCTTTGTCCAGCCATGTCGCTAGGGTTAGAAAGGAGATGCAGGAAATCTATCGAAACAAATATAAAATGACAAATTTACAATCTAGCTAGCAAATATGTAAGATTAAACAACAAATTTTTAAGAATTTTGAAGAAATTGATGAAGAATTTCGTACCTAAAGATGTTCCGATCGCAAAGCAAAGAGAGATGATGAAAAAATGAGAGGGAGAGGGGAATCACAGTCTATATACAAGTAGTGGAGGTGATCAATCCACTCAGAATGATCGATCCCACACAGAAATATACATGCCTCATTTTAGTGCAGGGGATGGTAGGGGATCGATCCGCCGTACTAAACTCTGGTTATGCGAGAACTCCAGGTGATGGATTCAAAAGTGCTGATCGATCCACCGAAAAAGCACTTAACATGTTATTAAATTTAAAAGCCCAGATGATCGATCCATGATGAGTGATCGATCCGCCAAAGAAATACTTTGAGTCTAGTTTTAATTCCAGCGTCCAGGTGATCGATCCAGTAAAGATGATCGATCCACCAAAGAAATTTCGTGGAGCCCAAATTTAATTTCAACCTCCAAGTGATCGATCCAATGGTAGGTATTGATCCCCTCTATTCCAGCTTTAAAAAATATATTTAAAATTTGATTTTGTTGCTTTCTTGATGAAGCTCGGAACCCGAAACATAAAAAAGAGACCTTGCAAAAAAGATTTATTGTGCCTCCGATGCTCAAGTTAGTAAAGTAAAATAAAAGAATGAATTAGTTCATAGAGATGTCCAAAATACCAAGTTCGTTCCAAATGTGGAAGAAACTCTCCCTACTAAGGGGTTTTGTGAAAATGTCCGCCAATTGATGTTTTGTTTCAACAAACTCAATTATGACATCTCTCTTTTAAACGTGATCTCGTATGAAGTAATGCCTAATTTTAATGTGTTTAGTTCGAGAATGAAGAACGGGGTTCTTCGTTAGACTAATAGCACTCATATTGTCACACCTAATTGGGATGTGATCAAGTACAAGGCCGAAGTCCACTAGTTCTTCATTTAACCAAAGAATCTAGGCACAACAACTTCCCAGAGCGACATATTCCGCTTCGGTGGTGGATATTGCAACACTAACTTGTTTCTTGCGAAACCAAGAGACTAATGAGTGACCAAACAAGTGGCAAGTACCGCTGGTACTCTTCCTATCGAGTTTGCATCCAACAAAATTCGAGTCGGAATGGCCAACAAGATGATACGTCGAGCCTTTGAGATACCAATTCAAAGACCTACGTTCAACGTACCAACGAGATATCACGTTATCCTCTCAATCGCAACCAAGTGTGATTCTTTAGAACAATACTGACATCTAGCACACATACAAACAGAGTACATGATATCTGGTCTATTTGCGGTAAGGTAAAGTAGAGATCCGATCATACCTCGATAGCGTTTAGTGTCTACCTCTTTACCTTTATTATCCTTGTCGACATAGCAAGAAGTGCTCATTGGTGTGTCAATGGATTTGGATTTGGTAACGTTGAATTTACGGAGTATTTAACAATTCCCTGCAATACTTCATTTGACACACAAATGTACTTTAATGACGGGGGTGTTAAAATCAGGAAAAATGCCCCGACGTTATTAGTATTTTAGAAATCACTCTAAATAAGACTAAAACATAGTAGAAAAAGTACCAAAATAGTACTTCTATGTTTTTATTTTTGAAATAGAAGTTCGCACTGTGGTAATGTGAAGGTAATGTGACACTGTACACGTGCACATTACTATATTTTTCGGTAATGTATGTGACCACGTTTGGTAATGTAAATGCATTTTAAATCTTATTTCAGAATTAAAAACATAAAAATTCTATTTTGATATATTTTTAATATTTATTTTTATTTTAGTCTTTTTCTCTTGGTATTTTCGATGCTCTTTTATGTTATGTTAGCAAACTAGCACAGACTTTGCGAGTATGTTACTCTATAGTCTATCCTTTTCAATAAGGAGAAATAAAATTTCTTCTTACTACGTGCTCATTTATTTCCCTTTTTGCCTCTCCCACGGACCAAACATCGGCTCACTTTTTCATACTCAGTACATTGATTAACGGAGGGTAGATGTTTTACTCCGGAAAAATGAAGCAATAAGGTTGTCATGCAAGAGTGTTAAAATATGAGCGCCAACCAGTTTCTGGAAATCCCCAAAGTGGAGTCAGATGCGCAGAACATCGGTAGGGAAGCCAACAAAGACGGTGATGATGTTCACACACACTCAGATACAGAGATTCAGCCTAGGAGCGAGCGAGAAGAAGCCCTTGTCGCTCTCATTGAACATCGCACAAGGGAGGTTCATCATCTCCAACAACGCATCTGTTACTATAAATCCCAGGTTTAGTTTCATTTGTATCATTACATCTGATGGATGATTTAGTTGCTTACTATATCCAATTCTTTGGAATTGATGTTAGATAACATTATATTTAAGAAATTGAGTGGACTTAAAAAAAATATTTGTTGAAGAAACTGTGGAGAATGGATATTTGGAAATCTGGAAGTTGAATTGTAAATTGCAAAATTGAAAGACGCTTGACTTGAAGAAACTCTGTGCCCATTTGGAAAGGTAACCCTACGATTTTACTCTAGCTTTTTTAGTGTGAATTTTTACCACTAATAATATATTGCAAACACCAACTCTAATTACATAGGCTATTCCCAAATAATTCCTATAAGGAGAAGATTAAAAGGAACGTGATGAAGTTAGATACCTGGCTCCCAGCTATGTGTTGTCTAGCTCAACAAAAGAGCTCAAAGCAAGAAACTCATAATTGAAATGTTTTAGGATACTAAATCAATATTTCCAAAGAGTTGTGAGAGGGAAGATTCTAGAGAATTCTAGAAGTTGGTGCCTGGTGGAGATGCATTCTCTAGAATGTTGTAAAATTTTCTAGAGAAGTGTGTAAGTCTCTAGAAGTGTGTGGAAGAATATAGAATCCTCTAGAATATTATAGAACTATGTAACAATGTGAAGTCCTCAAGATTTTTCTAGAACATTATGGAAGCTTGTGGAGACTTTCTAGAGGATTCTAGAGATATAGAGATGCGTAGTGTATTCTAGAGAAGCCTAACCTTGGTGATGAGTTTAAATAGTGGTGTGGAGGACTCATTTGTGAATCAAGAACCAAGAAAGCTTCTTGAGAGTGCTTGTGAGTGAAGTGATCCCCACACAAAGAGTGAAATGAGCTACTTGTGTAATAAATTGTAATCTTTCTTGTACATTGTTTTATCGCGCCTTCTTTGTATTATTCTATTATTGAGTGTGCGTGAGCGTACAAGAGTTTGATTGTGTGAATCAATTCCCCCACAATAAGGAAACGTAGAGAACAATATTGATAACACGTGGGCCCAAAATGATTAGAAGTTCAGAGCTCAACCATAAAATTTTGAAATCTTGCTGCTCTCTTCATTCTTTTTGGTCAGTTGAGGAAACCTTCATAATGTTCCTTTCACTTTAAAGTTTAAACAACCCTTGTTATGGAGGTTAAACAGATTGGAATTAAAATTGGCCCACATGTCCACTAGTGGTTGTGGTGTGCGTCAGTGTGTGGGTGGAGGTGTAGTTTGTTCGTTTGAGTTATTTCTTATCTTGCCTGTGGCTAACAGAGAGGAAGAGTCCTTGACCGCTGTTTGTATTAAACTATTACTTGTCAAATATATCATTTATTATTGTTGGATGTAGTACCAATAGGTACCTTGCCTTACAAGTTACAACAATAGAGTTATAGCTTATGTGTTGATAAATTTATTTACATATGTGTTTGCATGCACACACATACACAAAATCCAAAATTTAACTTTTATTGATAACGGAGATATGGAATACCACTACAATCCGTTAATACAATATTAGTTAAGAGTTTAGGAAGAAGATTAAAGGATCAAATGATAACAAAATCTTTTAAACATATTCCTAGTTCTGCTAGGTGATGAGCGGCTTGATTCCCCTCTCTATATATGTGGTNTATTGTTGGATGTAGTACCAATAGGTACCTTGCCTTACAAGTTACAACAATAGAGTTATAGCTTATGTGTTGATAAATTTATTTACATATGTGTTTGCATGCACACACATACACAAAATCCAAAATTTAACTTTTATTGATAACGGAGATATGGAATACCACTACAATCCGTTAATACAATATTAGTTAAGAGTTTAGGAAGAAGATTAAAGGATCAAATGATAACAAAATCTTTTAAACATATTCCTAGTTCTGCTAGGTGATGAGCGGCTTGATTCCCCTCTCTATATATGTGGTTGAAGTTTGCTGAGGTAGCGTGAAGGAGAAAGGAGATTTTCCTGATTGTATGCTTAACAGACTAGGGACCTGTAAATGATTATTCCTTGAATGTGTTGTAGCAATTCCTTACAATCAGTTTCCACATTAGTGAGGACCATTGCTCCTGCTTCCATTAGTGAGGATGCCGCTAAAGCAATCTGCTCCACCTATCGTGAATAGATTGTTAAAGGCAGCATCAAAATTGAGGTTGAGGTTGTTGATGGCCTGTTTTCCCCAGAAATCTAGTTTGACTTTTAGATTGGCGGAGCCATTGTTGCTAGGAATACGTCTAGCTTTGTAGAGAGTCTGTCTTGAGGAAATAAGTTTTTTGTGCGGAGTGGCCTATTGACTAATTCGTTGTGTACTGGGGCTCTGGGAGACTTGTTGTTTAATAGAAGGAAAGTGTACTGTGTTATCTCCATGTAATGGTACAACAGGCTATCCGGATGTGCCAGATCATCACCCGGATATCAGTTTCCTGAGTATTCCAACTACTGCCTTCATCCCTCTATGGCTCTATGTTTGTCATGTTGGAGAGTGGCACACATACCAAAACTCTCAAACAATGGGTTAAAGTGAATTGATTAAGGAGAAAGTGGTGTAAAAGCTGTAAAAATGAACAGTATAGAAATCTCTCCACTAAAAAATAGTACACAAATCTTAAAATTTCCCACTAAATCTGAAACATTTCCACCCAATCTATAGTTTTACCACCAAAAGTTAAAAATTTAGAAAACGCAAAAGTACATTTAGTCCTTACAGATAGTTAGTGCAAATACAAATTCCTCCAAAACATTAGAGCCATTATCACCAACAAAAATGGATACCGTAAATACAGAAGTTGTAGTGATAGAATGTGCAGGAAAAGATTACAGATTCTTAGAGAAAAAAATCTTAGTGAGAGACTAATGTGGAGCTGCTTAGAAAAAATTGGCATCAGCTGGGTGGAGTATTGCAGCCTGGCATCATCAAGGCATCAAGCAAACATCATATGCATATGGGTTCTAAACAAAAACCATCAATAGAATTTGGACAATTGCGAGGAGGCAGCTGAACAGAAAAGTCAATGTAAAAGACGGCAAAGATAGGAAGTGGACAAAAACAAGGTCAGTCAAATCCCATTCCAACAATGAACAAATATAAGGAGACTTGCAAAGGCTCTCAGCATGAGCAAGTCCAGAGTTCATAGAGCAATCACGAGTAGAAAATTTATGTCACAAGTCAACAATGCTATAAAGAGGTGTAGGCGTATAGGCGATGAATCTCCTCCCGCAGTGATTGAACCTGTTCAAAAGAGGTGTAGAGATTGGAAGATTCCTCTTCGAAGACCCGGAGTCTGTTGACTTTGGCTGAGAGGTTCCGGGACTTCACCTCTTCCTTCTTCAGCTCTTTGGAGAAGTTTCCTAGCCTTTTCTCTTGTGCTACTGCCTACTGCCAACTTCTCAGTTTTTCTTTGCTCCATCTGAGATGATTGTTCCGCAAGTTGAAGAAACTCGTTTATGGTTTGGATACTCTCCTCTTGGTCCCGGATGAACTGTACCTTTTCTCTTATGACCAAGTCCCTTTGAGCCAGGCCCAGGGCAGTCTTGGCCAGGATGGCGTCGGAGCTGGCCCCCCTGATAGTCGGCGTTTAGGGCATGGATTGTGTTACCAAGCTGGAGAAAAGACATAGACAAGATAAACACACAAGAAATTTTCAAATGAACTTAGGTTGCAAAAGAGGAGAGTTACTAGGGCATGTTGAGCCAGCGCAGCAAGGCCTACGTAGTCAGGACGGCGAGGGCTGGGTCCTGGGGACCAGACTGAAGGGCTTGCCCCGCTGCGAAGAGGCTTTTCTTCTCTTGCTTATTGCATCGCTAGGCGAAAGAGAAGACATCTTGAAGTGCAGGCCAAAGGTCCATGAACCTTTGGAAAGATTCCAATTCATACTGATGTTTGGCTTGAAGGAAAGCAGAAGCCCCGGATGAAGATGGCCTTTCGTACTCCCAGGGGGGATTCTCTCCGGATTTCTTCGATAGAATCTCCGGGGCCACCAAAGTTGGAGTGGGGGTTTGAAATTAGAAGACGGGTTTCCAATAGAACCTTCTGGAGGTGGTTTGGAGGAAGGTGTTGCGCGAGTTGCAGGAGTTTGAGGAGGAACCGCTTCCGGGATACTGACTTCCTTGATAGGTATCACCTCTGAGGCGTTCTCCCTCGTTCTCTGATCTTCATCGTCAGGGACAGCCTGACAATGTTTTTGGGGTGACTGACGACCACCTTGTGAGTCGGTGGCATCATGAAGTCGCTGAACTCCCGGTCTCCCGGGGTGCGGGAGACGCTTCTCCTCAGCCTTTTCCCAGTCCACAGCGAGGGGCACCGCGGATCACTTTGAAAGAGGAAAATCTTCTTGATTAACAGAAGTACCTGGAGTTCCGGCATAGTCAAAGGAACATCCGGGGTTCAGGTTTGTGGTGAACCTCTTGCATGATCTGCAGAGACCCTATCATCTTCAGCATTCCCAGGACTATTTGCTTGGGTCCTGGGGTCTTCTTTGGCAGCAGTATTGGGGGCCCCTTCAGTAGCGAGGGTCCTGGAGGTTGTACGGGCATCACCCTCAGGAACCCCTTGGACAGCGGGGGTTCTGGACTCTTCAGCACAAGTTTCATTGAAGGGAACCTCTTGGACAGCAGGGTTCCCATGGCAGCATCTGCCCAAGTCCCTTGGTCAGTCGGGGCTCCGGAGGTAGTGGGGGCAGAGTCACAGAGATTCTTTCTCCTGGTCTCATCGAAGAAGAAGAAACCTGCATGGGTGATAATATCTCTGGTGTGCGAGGAGTGCTCAACAGGGGCTTCACCCTTTGACTGAATGAAATATTGATGGATTTGGGGAAGGAACTAAGATTGGAGGTTGAAGAACTAAGCAATTGAAGCTTCAATGCAATGGAAGTCAGAAACTTGAACTGGAAGGTAAATAAAGAAGATAGAAGTGATTGATGACAAGACTTAATAAATAGAGAAATCGCGTTGGGTCCCGAGGCATGATGATGATTGGAAACGGCAATATTGAAGTGACAGTTCTATCACAGCGTTTCCCAAGAATTAAGTCATGAGCGTTTTCAATTGAGTAGTCCCCCGGTGACACGTCACATAGGGGACTTGGGGGCTTATGATCGATGGAGATCGGGTCCACCACTCTAATTAAATAAGTGGACCTGATTGGCCCAATCCCGAAAGGCTGCAAGGCACAGCGAGACATGGAAGGGAGGCGAGAGCGGGCCAGATATTAGAGGGCTTAGGCATGTGAGAATCTTCTAGATATAAGATTGTGTTGAAATAGGAAATATGAGAAGTGGGGTGAAAAATTTGGGATTGTTATCCGATTCCTTCTAGGATTTGGATACCCAATTTGTCTCCCCATAATATGTATAAATAGACCTTCTTTGTTAAGGTGGAGGGATTCGAAATTATTCAATACACAGTATAATTGTCGAATACATATAGCGCATATTTTAAACAGATGTATAACCAGAATGGATATTAAACAGATCGAATGTAGAATCACCACATCTACATCTACATCCATTTTAAATTGAATGTTTGTTAATGAATAATATCCGCTTTCTTGTATGGACTTAATTTGGCTAGCAACAATATGTTACCATATACTACATTGTTCCGGGTATAGTTGAATCTTGTCAGAGATGGTAACTTCCATTAAATGTTAGCCACTGTTAGGGTTACACTGTTTTTTTTATTAGCATGTATCGGGATTGCTCAAGTTGTTTTAAATGGAATTTTTGCATCAGTTGCCCTTGAACCCCTTAAAGTGCAAGTTTCCCCCGAACTTTAAAAAGTGCATCAGTAGTCCCTACTTTTTATAATGCCCGCACTTTATCCCTGAACTTTTTGAAAGTGCATAATTTCCGCCTGAAGTTTCAAAAGTGCCCCATTAGTCCTTATACTTTTCATAAATTACATGCTTTCTCCCGATTTTTGAAAAGTGCATCATTAGTCCTGTTATTTTTATTCAAGTTTAGTTAAAGACGTTATTAAATCAAGAGAAATTCTTAAGGTTTCCACCATACACTATTTTTAAAAATATAGAACTAATGGTACACTTTTGAAAGTTCGGGGGAAAGAACACACTTTATGAAAAGTATATGGACTAATGGTGCTCTTTGGAAGGTTTGGGATGAAAACATGCACTTTTTAAAGAATTCGGGGATAAAGCGCACACTTTATTAAAAGTATATGAATTAATGGTGCATTTTTGAAAGTTCGGGGGCAAAATATGCACTTTATCAATAATTCAGGGGTAAATGGCACAAAAAGCTCGTTTTAAATGGTTTTGTGCTTTATTGGGATCAAAACTGTTTTATTTGTTTTTCTTTTTCTGACTATCACACAGCTTACTGAAGCAGAGCGGAGTTTAAATGAGACACAGGTAAAGCTGGTTCGCCTTCGTGGTGTGGGCAGTATTACAACATCCAAGAGTTCTCAGGAGAATGATCGGAAGAAGGTAAAATCTAATAATGGTTCCTTGAGTCCAGCTTCATGTAGTGAAGACACTAAAGGATTTTCTGGGACTCAACCACAAGGGAGGTCTATGCCACTCAGACCATTAGAGCATAGATCTGCATGTGCTTCTGCCAGCAAAGAACTATCTTCTAGATACCAACCTCAGGGTAAACCACAGCTTTTAGTTCCTACGGTGAAGCCAAAAGTTTATCAACCAACTAAGATGATAGAATCTGAACCCAAAGTGACCAGTAGAGCTGGTTCTTTGACTGGTGAACCTGCTTTTCCTCACAGTATGAGTATGACGAAGCTAATGACAGAAACAAATGTGAAAAAACTTTCTGGGAAGGAAATTGTTGGTGTTCAAAGTAAAGGAACAAAGAGAAAATTTGGTAAAGTTTCATTTTTGGTTTTACACTTTTAATCTGCTTGGTGAATATTATTCGGCCTACATAAAATTTGGAAGTCTATGAAATATGTGAATTTTAATTAACTGATGTGTTATTATCACACTCATTTTCTTATAACAGAGCAGAAAGAACACAAAGATCTAATCTCTATAATCCACACCTGCTCTTCGCCCTGCACTATCCGCTGTTATACCTCTGCTATATCAAGTCAGCATAAGAGGAAGCCTAGAAGTCTTGTTTTGTGCCCCACGAGTGAGCAACTTTTTGTCACAAGGTAGCTTTCTTCAGAGTCTAAACAGAAATCTCTTTTTTTTCTTTTTCAATTTCTAAAGCTCGATGTTCTTCAATTTAGTGCTTAAAAGAAGCCAATTGGGTTAATTTTAAGAAAAAATATTTTTAAGTGATGGCATACTTTCTTTTCATTTATGATCTTTGTCTGAGGCATTTTGGTGCTTGTACATATTATTAGTTGCAACGTTTTGCAGTGATAGTTTTCATAGTTACATTGTACTTTCATATCATCTTTTTCTAGAACAAAAGCATTGGGTTATTCTGTTGGATATTTCCCTGCTCAAAAATTAGATGTTTTGTGATATATAAAACAAATTGGTGCTCTTAGGCCCATCGTAATTGATATAACTAATACAAAATTTCATTTTAAATTGCAGTGCGCTGGATGGAGTTGTCAACCTATGGCAGATTCAGAGCAGAGGGTGTGTTAAGTTCATTAATGGCTAACGTTTGTAGATGTTAAAGAATAAAATTACTATGAAAGTATATACTAAAAATCTAGAGAGTATGTTGATTATTGATGTGATTAGAACACTGTGAGATATTATAAGCTTATATAAATAGATCTAGAACTCTCATCCGCTAATCTAAGAGTTTCTACATATTTACCACAGTGGCACATACATTATCTCTCACAATAGGCAAATCATTTCATTTATTCTAGATCATACTTTCTTCTTTTTCATTGCATCCTATCTTCTAACAAGTGAATCCCATTTCTGATTGTTATTGATTATTTTTTCATCATATTTTTAGTTCTTTACATGCATTGTCCATATCCAGATCCACCGCCAACCTTCTCAGTTCTACTGATTGTTCATCAGCAAAACATAGGAAATGGCCAGAAGATATGGCCTGGCATCCTGAGGGGGATAGTATATTTTTGGTTTATAGTGGTGATAAAGGTGAATCCCAGGTTTCAATTCTTAATCTGAGCAAAACAAAAGAGGTATTGATTGCATAATATCATGAGCTTTTTTACAGTTGTACAACCTACCAGTACAAATATGCTTACATGCAGTCTTTTAAATGCCAAAACAAGAAATATTTGTAATGGACATTAACCTTGTTCATTAATACATATACTTTGTGAAATGATGCGTATAGACAATGTTGAACAAAACATACAAACATTAATTTTTTTTTGTTACAGAAATAGTTTAATGTTTTCATATGTTCAATTCCTTTTGTTTCGAGTTGGGGTCTCTTGGAAACAGCCTCTCTACTTTTCAAGTAGGGGAAAGGTCTGTGTACACTCACCCTCGCCAAATCCCATTCGGTGGGATTATACTTGCTTTATTGTTGACTTGTTGTATTCATAGTTTCGTATGTTCAGTCCACTACACGTTATGTTAGACATGAAAAACAACAGTATCACTCTGTTGATATTGGAGATCAAGTGTTGGTTATCACAGTCTACCGATATTAAAGATCAAGCATATCATCTAGCTAACTCAAGTAATAAATGTTTTGCTTGCGTATGTAAATTGTGTCCCATCGTTTGTGTGGTATGCTTGAAATGTAATTGATACTGGATGACCTTAATACGTGAAAAAATCTGCATCAGCATACATACTCATAATCTTTTACTGCCTATCAAGAATAGTAGTATTAGTCTTAGTCTTATAAGCCGATGCATTGATAGAAATTACGCATGAGTTTCTTGGAAGGGAAGCCACATGTTAGAGGCATCATCAACAACATAGTTTTCATGCCATGGGAAGATATTTGCTTTGTTACTGGTGGTAGTGATCATGCTGTAGTGTGCTGGACGGAGAAAGAGGAGGAGAATTTGTGGATTCCTAAAGCTTTGCATAGAAGTATGCATTCGTCAGCTGTAATGGGAGTTGCTGGTATGCAGCATAAGAAAAGTGTGATGTCTGCAGGAGCTGACAAGAAGATTATTGGGTTTGATCTTCAAGCTGGAAGAGCTGACTACAACCATCAACTTGATAGCAAATGCATGAGTGTTTTGCCTAATCCACATGACTTCAATCTCTTTATGGTTCAGACAGGGTAAATTACTTCCCCATAGCATTTTTCACTTGCATACTTATTTCTTCAAACCAATGGACTGTGAGGAAATAGGTGGCCAGAAGTGAATTCGGTTTCATTTGGTAATGTTTTTTTTCTTTTATTCTACTTTTACTAAACCCAAAACGTAGGTAGGGAAAATATAAATAATTTTCCTTTCACTGTAATCTCCGTGCCGGGTTTTGGGAAAGAGAGAGTATAAAGCAAATGAAGTTTATTGTGTTATTTCATCTAGTCTCGTATTAACCTGAAACTAAAACCTTGTGAAAAATTACTCTTTTAGCTCTGTTAGCAATGAACTTAACTACACAGACTTTACACCCACCCAAAAGAGAAGGGAGGCTGTTCCAGAAGACCAGGCTCTTGTATGGTAAAACAAAAGCAGAAAAAAAGAAGACTAAAATAATAAAATATGTAATGCTACAAAAGGAACACATCGTTTCCCTGCTTATACTTTGGTTTTAAGATCTGGTTTCAGGTATTTGTTTTGGTACAATTTCCACAGGTATGGAATCCTTTAATGCATTTATTATTCCATGCAGGACTTTGGAGAAGCAGCTAAGGTTGTTTGATATCAGAGCAAGGCAACGGGAGGTACATGCTTTTGGGTGGAAGCAAGAAAGCAGTGATTCACAATCAGCTCTCATAAATCAGGCTTGGTCACCCGATGGTTTGTACATCACATCTGGTTCAGTTGATCCTGTCATTCACATATTCGATATAAGGTACAACTCTCACAAACCTTCACAGTCCATAAGGGCCCATCAGAAGCGAGTCTTCAAAGCTGTTTGGCACCACACTCTCCCTTTCCTGATATCCATCTCATCTGATTTGAACATTGGATTGCACAAGGTCAACTGAGTT